TACTTTTTTTAAACAAAAGTTTTCATACAAAAAGGGATGTTTTGATTTGATCTTTAATCGTTTTAGAATTTTAAAGACATTCCTTTATTTTTTTCATTATTCCAAATATAAAGTATTTTTTATTGATAGAAATTTGCTTAGGATAATAGCATATCATTCAATTTTTTGTACAGTATATGTGTGATTGATCATTAGAATGGTTTATTTATTCAATATAATCGATACAATCAATACAAACTAGTTGTTGGTGATTATAAAATATTATTACTATTCTACGGAATTATACAATATTATTTACTTTTGAATTTACAATAAATAATATTTCTATTCGTTTTAATGCATTGTCTCATTTCCAAAATGAAAACGCAATAAATGCCTGTTTTGTTAGTTTTGGAATCCTTTGAAAATGTACTTTTCAAATTACTGTGGTCAAGAAATCTAAAAATTTAAGCGCCTTTTTGTGAATAAATTCAATCAAATTGTCTAAAATTAGAAATCTAATAACTCCTTGTTATATTTCGATTTTATAGCATTGTTTATTGCAGTATAACTAACAAATTGATGGACCGATAATTCCAAATTCACATTAGCCAAAAAGAAAATGGGAATTTTGATATCATTTTACTAAACTACTAGAGATAATACTACAGAATCGAAATATGATGGAAATCGAGTTTAAAAAATGATATGCACATATAAACACCAAAATTTTAATTTTTTTTTTTTTTATATAATAGCTCTTGTAACTTATTGCGAACTTTGTCATTAAATGCAATTTTTTTTATATAGTCGTTATTCTATTTTATTTTTTTATACGTATTATTATACCTTTTCTATTTTTAGTTTTCTTCTTGCTATGAATTGTTTTCCTTTTTTACAAAAAATCCAGTTAGTAATTTTCCCAAAGGTAGTAAGCAAAAGGCAAACATTACCTTAAATAGAAATAATGTTCATTATGTTCAACTTAGTGTACGAATTTCTATAATGCATAAAACGCACGATTTGACGAAAAACGAACTTTAGATGATAGGCGAAGAACTTAGTGTGGGAAACCGAGAATCTTAAATGTGTACATTATTGGACAGACGACAAAAAATAACAGGAAAAATGTTTTTTTTTGTCGGAGTTAATGTGCTGCGCGTAGCAGCATATGATTGAATTTAACTCCGTTGAAAAAAAGATTTCCTGTTATTTGTCTTACGTACTTATCGTTATGTTCAATTATGATGTTATCCGATAGTTAATTTCATGCAAAAAATATCATGCCAAAAAATTCACATGATCATATGAAATGTCGGTTTCGTATCAAAAGGCCCATTTTGACAATTTTTCAAATTCTTTTTATTTGTCACTATAGTATAAGTAACAGACGTTATCATAAGATCCACAAAATAAACTTAATGTAAAAAAAAAAGTGCCCTTTTAATACGAGACACCCCATATAATTCAAAATTTATTTAAAGTTCGTTATAAAAGGCGTCAATTTTATTTGAATGAAACTGTATTTTATAAAGCTACACAAGACCTCTAATAACTAAATGTTTCAAAATCAAGATCTAATGGCTGCTATCGAAAATAATCAATCACAAAACATCAAAAACAAGCCTTTAGAATACGTAAAATCAGAAACATCGGAATACGTAGAATCAGAAAAATCGGTTCAAATATGTGAGACGGGAAATACTACTTCGTCAAGTGATCCAATAAATTGGCCGAAAAAGAGAAAAAATTTCATCTTATTTATTATCTCTGCAACAGCAATGATTAGCAGTATTTCTAGCACGTGAGAGTCCTGACATTCTTTTTTTTGAGTCTATATTTTTGATATTTAAAACTTGATTTTTTCTGTCTAGAATTATTTTTCCGGCTGTTATCAAAATTGAGACTGATCTAAATACTTCTCAAGTCCTTTCCAGTACTTTAGGCAAGTAAAATAATTTTGTTCATGTGATTTAATGTATTAGTTGAGCAAAAGTTTTCCAACAGCGCTTTAGGAATAGGTAGACAAGACAATTACTTATTACATAAAAATCACATTATGCAATATCGATATGACAATTTAGCATGCTAGTTGCAAATATAGATTATTAGTACGTAAACTGTTGCATACTGTGATTGAATTAAGCTCAGAGTAATCGATCTAGTTAATTTGTTCGAGTTTTATTCGAGTCATAAAAAATCATATTACCATTTATAAAAGTAAATGCCTCTTTTCTAATTAGCAAATACAAGTTTATTAATACACGTAATACAGTGTGTAATGGCTTGCCAGTTAAAAAATCACCTGAAAAATTCGAGTTGTACGAGTCATGAATTGATGAGTTCTTAATCAATAACTAATTTAATGGCAATATAGTTTAATAACTTAATTATTTGTTCGCATTAATTATTTAGTTGCTGTTTACATTTTTTCCCTGGGCATTTCAGTATGTTTTCATTTCATTTCTTTTTTGTAATGTTTGTGTTATGTAAAAAAATATCTAACTCATAATTTGTTTATTTGCAGCCACTAGGGTGGGCCTCATATTCCGATGTTCGTCAAACAAGGCAAAGGATCTACTTAATTTCCCTTGTGATGTACGTCATTGCTGGAATAATATGTGCTATATCGAATAATATTTGGTTGTTGTTAGTTATGCGCTTTTTTCAGGCGTGTGGTGGTTCTTCCGTCATAAGCATTGGTGCTGGAACTATAAGTGATATATTTAAAACTACCGGTAAATTATATAGTTATGCAAGTGACTTGCGTCATCTCAATTATTAGCAATGTATTTAATCAATTCATGTTTAGAACGTGGACGCGCATATGGATTTTTCTATTTGGGTCCTTTAATAGGTCCTGTTATCGGTCCGACCATAGGCGGTTATATAGCTCAATACCTTAGTTGGAGATTTATCTTTTGGTTTCTATCATTATATGGTGGTATCATTTTAGTCATCATCTACTTTGCTCTTCCAGAAACTTTTCGTCATGTTGAGTTGTCACTTTTCACTGTTTCACCTCTTAAAAAGCGTTTTAATCCTTTCTCACCAGTTGCTTTACTTCGCTATCCAAACTTATCTTTGACTATATGTTACATAAGTACCATTTTTTCTGTGTTTTATATCTATAATATCCTTATTCCAAGAACTTTTTCTTCAAAATTTAATCTTTCCATTTCCAATATCGGTCTTGTATTTCTTTCTCTTGGACTTGGATGCTCATTGGGAAGTATGGTCTCTGGATATTATTCGGATTTCATATTGTCTAAAATTCGTGCGAAATATGGTGATGTTTATCCGGAAATGAGAATAAACTGTGTTTGGCTTGGTTCTGTGTTAGTTCCAGTTTCTCATTTAGCCTACGGATGGTTGATTCTGAAGGATGTTCATATTGTTTTTCCTATATTATCAATATTTTTTTGTATGTAACTCTTATATTATTCCCACTCTTTTGTAAATATAACATTTTTTTAAAAAAAAATTTTTTTTGGTTTTAATTGTAGTCGGATTTGGTACATTGTTAATATCCAATTGTATGTCAACATATTTAATCGACGCATTTCCTGGTCGAAGCGCTTCAGCTATAGCAATGTACAATCTTTTCAGATTTACGGCTTCTGCAATAATGTCTTTTGCCTCAATACAACTTGAAAACATGTTGGGCACTGGATTATTGTATACTCTTTCGGCTGTACTTATTACATTATGCACATCCTGCATAGTGATTGTATATTTTAAAGGGAAAAAGTGGAGAGAACGTTTTCAAAATTAATGCTTTATATTATTGGAATAATTAATGAGCTTTGTAAAAAAAAAAATTAGTACCGTATATTACCGAATAAAAGCTACCAAAATATGCATAAAAATAAGTAAGGCCAAAGTAAGAGGGTAGCTTCTATACGGGTCCGATTTTATAAATAAACATAATGATTTTCTTCAAATTTTTGGATCCAAAATCGAGGGGTAACTTTTATTCGGTAACATTCGGTTTAAAGTTATTAATAAAAAAAACAAAATAACTACATATCGCCACTGGTGATCATCACCAGTGATTTACAGGTGTAACATATAAATCAAAGTGATTTTTTAAAACAAACAGTATAGTCACAAGGACTTTATCTGATATAATTATATTAATAAAAGTACAATTTATTATATATACAACTCTAGTTATTGTTTATTTAAGAGCTCTCTATATCACTGTATTTTTATTTATAGTTATCTACCAATTGCTATATCTAAGATTTAATTTTTTTAATATTAGGGTAAGGGTGGGGATATGATGTTGGGGTTAGGCAAAGGTTATAGTAAAATTTTGCAAGGAATTTTTTTTGTTAAGGTCCAAAAGGTGGTTTTATAGACAAAATTTTAAGATATGATTAATTTTTTAAAAATTCTTTGTTTTTGTTTCACAAAATTGATTTACACGTTACACCTGATCTTGCAAATTAATTGGTTAATTATATACTGGTGATGATCACCAGTGGCGATAAATAGCAAACTCCTAAAAAAAAAACTATTTATAATAAAAAGTTATTATTGTATACTAAAAAATAAATCCTTAAAAAATTATTCTAATATAAGTATAGTACATCCTATTTCTCACAAAGTTACTAATAATTTTAACTCACTATTGACTTATACGTTTAAAATATGCGTATCTCGCATTGCTTAGTTTTTGTAGTCGACCATTATTTATCAACTAAGTCGATATTTAAAAATCGGCTTAGCCTCACTTTAAAAAAAAAAAAAACTGGTAGTTTTGTAATATATCAAAATTCTCATTTTCATTTTGTTTAATGGGAATTTTGTCAAAATAGACAGCAGGTTTTGTCGATCATTTTGGCCCAGATCTCAATCAGATTTCAAAAATCAGGTTTAACGTGACATTTTTTTTTGGCATGCGACATTATGCAATACCAAAATCAATCTTTCTTATCTCTAGACAAAGTTTACTATTTATAATATTTTCAAACCTCATATTAGTTAGCCTGCTTTATACAGGTAAGAAATCACTAACTGATGCTAACTTAGTATTACATATGGTATAAAATATAATATTTATTAATTTTTGTTGCATTAAAATTATATAGTAATTTCTATGTTTACTTTTAAATTTTAAAATGTCTACATTACATTATGTGCCATTATTTTTTGCATAATGTAATGCACATAATGCAGAATACCATCTCTAAACGTGAAACAAACGTTTTTGTTAAAAATCGCTTATTTCTCAAAAATCTGTATAAAAAAACCACCTTTAGTACTTGATCAAAAAATTTCCCTAATTTATTCAAAACGCTAACCCTAACATTAGTGAACTTTTAAAATTTTTGCTGCGCCACAATAATCTACTAACCTGGTGTTACTATCGAATCGGGAGAGCGTCAGTAAGTGGGTGCCAATATTAGATCAGCGATAGCAAACGACGGATGAAT